GAATGGTCCGACGTGGACAACGACGCATTGGTTCCAAGACTGCTCGAGCCATGTGTACATGGTCACATTATCACTTTGATCCATAGCATCCCTGGTGTCGAGTACAGAAGAATACACAAGTAAAACTTGTGGATCCTGCGGTTATATTCATAAAAAGCTTGGTGGATCTAAGGTGTTTTGCTGTCCCAATGTAAAAAAAACCTTGATAGAGATATTAATGGTGCTCGCAATATTCTTCTTCGATACCAAAAAAAGAGTCAGCTTAGGCTGACGCGGGAGCCTATTCCCTGACAGGACTTGTTATTCCTAATTATTAGTAATGATAGGTTTTAATGTAGGTGTTATATGAACTACAAAAAATGTATTAGAGAAAAAGTAACATTAGAAATGGGTTTGAAATATGGAAAATTCTCAACTGAAAATTAGTATACATATATGGAGAATAACAATAATATGAAGGGTGATGATGATACGCGTACTGACTACCGAAATTTAACTCTTGACATTTGGAATGAAAGAGTGGCATAACATATGACTGCAAGTTACTGAAGGATAATATCCAGGGTTATCAGAAGATGATTACGCCTCCACGTTACTTTCAAATGGAAGGGACCCGAAAAAAAAACACTGGCTTGAGCTGCAAAAAATGGCTGTCTGGCGTAAACATAACAATGAGAAAATTACAGCTAACAACGCTGAAATTCAACAGAAATAGATTATCCAGCACCAACGAACCACGGTTTCTGCCATTGACTTTGTTACCGAAGAAATCAATAAACTAATATCACGTAAGTGTCAACGTGGACGAGGGTCACAAAGTGATAATCATAGTGAAGAAGAGTATCAAAGAAGCAGGATCGATGTTCCATTCGAATTTTCTTTTGAAATGGGGATTCGGAAAATGACATATACGTGAGAGAGCTAATATGTCGAAATTATCAAGATACAAAGGGACTGTTTGTAATCCAATGTACTGTACAAGAATACTGTATTATCATAATCGTGATTTTATTATTATTATTGCCTCTTAATAATTAGTCGTGCAACCATAATTAAATATCATGTGGCCTTTATTCTAACGTGAGATTCTGCGGATCATTTTGAATTAGATGCTAAGAAAATGACATTGACCTATACCGTGACAGAGGCGATGCCTCAGGTATCGAATCCCGCGGGTTAATAATGCTTTAGTCTGCTAACATTTGTCAAAAGTATGTCTTACAAGAAAAAAAATTCGCATATCAGATAGTCGAAGACCTTCGTAAAACATTCAGATCAAATGTGACAAAGCCTCTCTCATATAGAAAAGCACAACTGAAACAGCTGTATCTGTTGCTCGATGAGAATGAAAATTTGATTTTTGATGCGGTACATAAAGACGGTCGTAAACCGCGTGCAGAGGCATGGCTTGGAGAGACCGTTATTACAAAGGAGGAGATCGTGGAAGTGTTAAAAAATCTAGATAACTGGGCTGCAAGCGAGTATGTAAAAGTAGGCATGGGACATATGCTAAACAGCTGTCATGTACGAAAGGAGCCTGTTGGTAAGCTTTAGATTAAACTTTAAAATTTGACATATTGCTGCATGAAAGTATAATAGTTAAATACTTATACTTAACTTCCTGTGTTTTGTGACAATTAGGCACTGTTTTAATTATCGGTTCGTGGAATTACCCCATCGCACTCTTACTCGGCCCACTCATCGGTGCAATTGCCGCTGGCTGTACGGCAATCTGCAAACCATCTGAAATAGCTTCCCATACAGCCGTTCTTCTAGATGAACTCCTTCCCAAATATCTCGATCAATCGGCTTATCGTATCGTTCATGGTGGACCAGAGGAAACAGCCATTTTATTAAAATGCAAATTTGATCACATATTCTACACCGGTTCAGGCTCCGTTGGTAAATCGATTATGGCGGCGGCAGCAAATCATTTGACGCGAGTTACTCTGGAACTCGGTGGAAAGAGTCCTGTCATTGTTGGTAATGATGCGGACCCGTCTATTGTTGCCAAGCGTGTTGCTTGGGGAAAGTTTTTCAACTGTGGGCAGGTAAAAATATTTAATCTGTATAATAAATAGAATATAGGAATATCCCAATAATAGATGATAAGTTGATGGATCTAATCTAATAATGTTTGTACAAAGACTTGTATAGCTCCCGATTACATCATATGCGAGCGGTCTATGCAAGAAGCACTTCTGAAACATTTACCAATGGCTTTAAAAGAACTATACGGAGGAGATGTGAAGGAGAGTCCTGACTATGCTCGTTTAGTCAGCAGCAAACACTTTGACAGATTGGCGAACATGTTGACTCAGACTCAAGGCAGAGTTGCCATTGGCGGCGAAACAGACTTGAAGGAACTGTATATTTCCCCTACCATTGTTGCAGACGTATCAAAGGATGATATCTTGATGCAAGATGAGTTGTTTGGACCAGTTCTTCCCATAGTAGTTGTAGATAATCTTGACGATGCAATCGATTATGTGAATAGCAAAGACTCTCCTTTGACTATATATCCTTTTAGTAAGAACTCCAAGACAATTGAATACAGTACGTTTCTTAAGTTCATTCATGTGTTTATGTGATTGAGAACACCCCTGCTTTCAGGCGATCCACGGAATACTTACCATGTCCAAAGAAACATATGAAATACGATTTGTTCCGTCTTTTTGGCAGTGTTGTAGGCGAATTTCCTGAAAGCACGGGAAGCATTATTATTCGAGCGGTTACTAACACTTCTGATGGTCTAGTTCTCGAAAATACGCGATCGGGAGCCGCTGTTACAAATGACGTTATAATGCATTTTAGTGGTGAGTTCATGCCTTTACGACCTCTGTTTCGTCGTTTCTTAATGCATTCAATCACAGTTAACTAACGATATTTCCTACCTACGTTTAGTCACAAACCTTCCTTTTGGTGGCGTTGGAGCATCTGGTATAGGTAGTTACCATGGAAAAAAGTCATTTGACACCTTCACCCATGAGCGCTCTACCATGAATACACCATATTATGCTGAGAAATTTTTGGAAATACGGTATCCGCCCTACAAAGAGAACAAGTTAAAGATGCTTCAATGGCTATTCTTCTCAAAACGTGACTACAGGAATAATAAGAGCGTTCGTATATTCACATTGAAAAAATTCTTCGGGTATTCCCTAATTGTTGTAATTCTTGCTTACTCGCTGAGGAATTCAAATATGCTTGAAAGTCTCGTAAATTTCATAAAAGCTTGGTTTAAAACATAGAAATTATGATTCCAAGATTGTCGGTTGATAAAGACTTTGAGATAGCATCTTTCGAAGGCACGTCTGTGCTATATTTATTTGTCTGAACTGGTAACATTTTCCGCGCCAGACATGTGCATGTTCTTAATATTAGCACTCAGAAATACGCGATGTCTATGACATGGCTTCGCGATAGAGCGTTGATATTTTCATAACTATACTTTCACTGATTTTCTCAATAAATGTAAACGGGCAAAACTTTGTCTATTAATATTACAAAACCGGCACCAATTCGTAATAATTTGTTGTAAAAGACGAACCGTTATTTTGCTTAAGCAAATCTTCAAACCTCTTTCCATCGCAAAGAAACTAACCAGATAGACGATTCCAAAGCGTAAGCAAATTTTAACGGTAGTGAATAATAATAACAGGCAATTTGTGACTATCTTAAAGGTTAAGGGCCTTAGTATTGGTACACACAGAAGGTCAACCACAAAAATAAAGATCCAAGACTGAAATCAAAAGAAGGAATGGGGGAAAATAGAAACCTTTTAGTAAATGATGAACTACAGCCATTATTAAGATTTTCTTGACAATATTCTAAAAAGTACACTAATAGCAAAACTGGACATTCCAATGTGTCTTATAAACGTTATTGACGTACAAGTAGAATATTATGCTATGTCGAGTCACTTTCTGCAGTAATTGCAACTGTTAAAATCAACGTCAGTATTTTCGCGTCTAAAACTATACAGTCCTTCATATATACGTATTAGTATACACTGTTCGGTTCAAAATAACACGAAATGGGATAACAAAATGTATTGCCACAAGATCAGATCGCAAATATCTACCCATAGAACCAATCGGAACAACGACATGAGGAAGTCATTTCAACTGCATTAAACGTGTCATATAAAAAATGTAAAATTTAGACAACAATCTATTTGTTGACAAGTTTTCGTAATAATAGCAGAAGTAGAAACTCTACCGAGCAAAACCTTATCATGCTATTAGTTGACAGTTTTGACAGTCTTACCCCCAATAAACTGATTGCTGATGCTTTCGTCATAAATACGAGTTATTACGGAATGCTTCTCTATTTTTGTATGATGGCTTATCTTTGGTAAGTACGTGTGATTCCACCCTAATCCTATTGTGACTTATGATTTACCTTATTTGTATCTGTATAATGTATGTAATTTATCAAGTAATGTCAATAAATGTGTTGAAAAGAGTGGAGTGGGAATGTGGGGCAGACAATGATTGACCGATCATTTCAAAGTGGGTTTGTGGAAGAAACAAACATTAATGTCCCCTTCACATGAGTGTCACCACAAAGTAGGAATAAATAAATATAATCCAAGTTCAACCAAGCAAATTTAGAATAAACTTGCACAACAGGCATTCCGGGGAATGGTATATGGTATGTATAAACAATGACAGGATTGAACGGATAAAAAATAAGGAGGACTAAACAGATTATATAGGATAGCTATCATCCACTCTTATTATGGAAGGAGGCAATGTTGGCATACTTGTACTCAAACACTCGATCAACGCCAAATGATATTTCCCGAATATTCCAGTGACCGTAGAAACGGACTTGATTATTTGCTTCTTGGAACATTCGTTTGGTATACATCTCTCATGTGCACATTAAATTTACGTTTATGCATTTACGCAATTTTTTATTGATATAATACTTTTCTTCAAATCAGTTTCTGATACCGTGGTGAGTTGACATGTCTTCATCAGATGCTATTTTATAATTTTATCGTTATTTTGGTTTTATAGAAGAATCTGTACATATGAAGTTAGAAGTAAATAGAATTTCTGTACAATGGGTAAAATGTATAATAAGCTATAAATATATTTATCTACATATAATATTCGTAATATAAGAATGCTTGATAATCGTAAAAAGGCATACTTGCACTATATGTCTTGATTGAGAGGCGGACCTCCCAACCAATATTCTCCGTGTGTCTTTTAGTATATAAAAAAAGCGTGTTATATAATCCATAAAATGTAATTTTGATATATAATCTTGATTTAAATTGTTATAAAGGTTATTGATGAAGAATGTCAAGCCGCCCCACGAATCAGAAAGTAAAGAAAAGTCAACTAAGATTCCCATAAGCATCCGCGTTCAGTCCATCTAGAACTCGAAATTGATACGGAGCATTGTAGGATGACGATATTTTTTAAAAGAGAATTCTACTTGACTATATACAGAAGAAGGTAAATATGAAAAGAAGTAGCTAAAGGAAGCGCAAATCCAAATCTATATCTCGCTGAATTTTATATTTTATGAGACAGGAGTAAAATGAAAAAAATATACACAAGAAAAGAGGAAAAATATGTATAAAGAGAGAAAGCAGAATGAATACGAGGTTAGCCCACCCATTAAACGTTGTCGCGATTAAAAGAGGCGTAAAAAGTTGTCAAGAGGTAAAATGTCAAAAACGTCCCCACCACGAAAAGAGACCGAATAAAGTGACAATGAATGGGGAAACAATTGACATTGACACTGAACGTAGGCCCATGAAAAGTGACAAAAATCAAGGATCACAAAAAAATTTTGCGGACAGAAGTGAAAAAAAGAACCAAATAATTTTTGAAAGGATAATTTAAAACGTGCATATTCGAGGGTTGAGGATTGAGATTTGAAGAGGGAAAAAAAAAATTTTTTTTTGTAGATAACTCGTGGGAAGGAATGATAAGCAAATAAACGTAATAGCGTTCATATATATATATTCATCACTCATCCGTTCATAACTGTTTCATTCCACTCTCATTAATACCTCATTGGAGGTAAAGCGTAATCACTCGGATAGAAAAACCCATTTCCACTCTGTCCAATATTCCCAGCGCTCGCCGTCAAAGGAGGAAGTGTCCTGACATTAGGTGTCAATGGAGCATTAACAATATCACTAATTCGATTAACAGCAGGTGCGGTGCTCCCAACAGAAGCTAATGAGAAATTGAACGACTGTTTCCAATCTACTCCTAAGAGATTGACTTGGTTGTTGACATGAGGGCCAAGAATGGGACTCATCTCGGGGGTTGGGGGAAGATCAGCCTCACTGTCAGAACAGCAGCCATCGGTGTATAGACAATACGTTGAATCAGCCGAGGTAGCAGACAGTGGAGGACTGGGCATCATGTTATTGCTGTTGCGACGAACACGTTTGCTGGAATGTTCGATAAGTCGAGATGATGTATTGTATCTGCCAAATGGTGGCGAATTCAAGGCCAATTGAGTGATTGGAGGATAGTCTACAGTGGTGGCACCATTATAAAGAGGGGTAGATTGGGGAATGTTCTTAAATTCCAGCTCCAGTTTATTCTTGCGTCTGTCTCTTCTGTTGGCGTTATTATGGATACGGCGATGACGGGTGAGTTCGTCGCTGCGGGAGAATCGTTTCTCGCATCCGGGAAAGTCGCATCTGTGTGGTTTCTCGCCGGTATGAGTGCGTATATGACGAGTCTGATGTTCTAGTCTGAAGAATGCTTTATCGCACATTGGACATGCGTATGGGCGAGGTGCATTTGATTTGTCGACTGGATGAGAACGTTTTCTGGAATTGACAGCGACTGGTGGAATGACAGTATGATTGTGAGAAGTGGAATGGTTTTGGTATGAGAAATCGATCATTGCAGTGGGGTGGACTGGATGTAAGATATTAGAGAGAGAGCCCATTGTCATTGGCATTACGGGACGTTGCGGGTAAATTTCTTAGTGAGGAGGGTGGCGTGAAAGAGGGTTATATATAAAGGTTGGGTGATGGTAATGAATAAAATCTCAATTGTAAAAAATGAGATTTTGACGAAAGATAATGAAGCGTATAAGATACGTTAGAGTTGTTTGAAGAAGTTATTCGGTTCTTATGTGGATGAGACGTTCTTTGAATTTGTCCCGTCTGGTAACGAGAGTGACAGGATTTATATGGCAGAATCGGAACCATAAACAATAGACTAATAAATATAATATGTAGTATACTTTATAACGTAATAGAATATCATATGAAATATGTAATATAAATATACACATATTGTACAGTAAAGTATTTTCACTTTATCCTGAAATCAGTTTGATAAAATCCTACATACATACATACATACATCGTACATATGTACATACATTAATGATGTATGACATGTATATAAACTACCTTCGTATAATACAATATGTGATGTTTCTGTTACCACAATTTGCGGTACACAACATCCCTTTATCGAAGAGGATTCAAAGTCCTCGTTTTCCTTTGTTTACCCGGACGTCAAGAATCACATGAAAATGCCATGGGAGGTTGGAATGTAACTATGTTGATGAATTAAAATAAGGAAAGTGTCGACGACAGATGACGACTTAACCAGTGGAAATGAAGATGACATTGCGTGGGGCATGGTCAGAGTATTGTCATAGTAATATGAATGACAGAATGTGGGAGGGATAATCAGCAGTGATGTAATGATAAATACAATGGAGAGTCCAGCACATTGGCATTATACGTCGAAGACATGTGAGACATATTTATTATATGTATTATAAAGTATCTAATGTATAAATGTCGTACACGATAATAAAAGCCTGTATATTTATTTATATGTGCATATAATATAAAAATTTGCTATTGTACTATCTTTTTTTTATGATGTCGTTGTTATATTGTTTAATATGGCACAAGGTCTACTATTTTCCGTATGCAGTCCTCATACTATACATTTCGTTCAACTCTAATTGTACTAACTAAGCACATATGATTTGTTGGGCTGTCCACGTTGCCAGCAACGTTTTTTTTCCCCTTCCAATTCAAGCCCTTACAATTGATAGTTTGACATGCTTCAAACAGTAATAGTTGTCAGTTGTATGTTGATACGGAGAGGAAATGAGGTAATGATTACTATGTAATACTCTGAATGCACAACCCTCAATGCATAAGCCACCGTTGCTATTCAACACCGTTGCTATTCACCACCGTTGTTATTCACCACCGCTGCTATTCACCACCGTC